ATTGCACCAAAAGACTTTAGTCTATCTCACATGATGATATTTGCAATTTAAGATATCAGAAGAAATAGTATGAAGTTAATATAGTTTTTTTTTCACGCTGCGACACATGTTGTCTCTCGACAGAATTTTAGCGGAAGTAAGTCTCCAAAAGTATGGCTGTCAGTGTAGTTCTATATTACTACCTATAGGAACAACGACTAGGCAGATACTAATTTGAGCATATCAGGCACTATGATGGATGCTCTTTGAAAGCCAAATCATAAGATAAAAGTCTCTTTCTAGTTTCTTTTGATAATCAAATGCATGGCGAGTCTCTAACTTAGAAGCGAGAATGACGGGAAACGTAGTCAGTCACTTCGAAAATTAATCAAAAGTCAAAGGCATAGTAGGGATAATCATGGGAACGGCTAGCCGTGAGTGGCCGACCGGAGGGAGGCCGACGAACGACTAGACGTTTATTTAAGAAGCTTAGAGCAGATAAAATAACCGAAGGGTCTGGTTCACTTGACCGACAACTCATTTTCTCGACAGTCTTGAAGTCAAAACAATTGATTGAACAATCGTTAACATAAAGAATGAGCGCCCGGAGAAGGTGAAGATTAGAGAGTCCGTCGAGCAGATGGATAAGGGAAGTTCACGCAGCTACTACCTATTACAAATCGAAAAGTTGCCTTTTATAGGCGACGACATGCAGTAACAGACAGACAAAGAGATTCACATGATATTGCTCGCAACAAAGAGATAAACCTTGCACAGCGAGAGAGAGAGAGATCCAGAGGAGACACAAGATAATTACAGACAGAGAAAAGGTAAGACAATATCATCAGGAATAATCACTGAGCAATGAGACACGTGATGATAACTAAATGCAGAGAAAACGTTTGAGTTCATCACCCTCGCCCTCATCCACACCCTGTCGGATCTCGTCGAATCCGAAACATGGATTTCCTAGATTTTCTAAGGGCCAGCATCGAACATAGCTAAAAAGATCGCTCATAAAATTTGCGACAACCGACGGGATTTTTCTAGTCGGATTCCAATGCAATTCCGTTTCCAGGAATCCGATCGGATTTTGTCGGATGATCGGACTTGTTGAACTGGGTTATGATGGGTGCTCGGTTCACGACAAATCATAAAATAAAACTTTTTGT